TATATATTTGATTTGCACCATCGTTTTTCCTTTAAAACAACAACAGCTGAGGAATATTCAAACCAGAAGTTTTTTTATACTAATTCTAAACTATCAACTGATTACATAACAAATCATCAAGCAAAATATAGATAGAAAATAAATTAAATTACATTTATTACCTCAGCTCACACACGCTGTACCTTTAAGTAAACATTTAGGCTGTAATGAGAAAAAATATGTTCATGTGCATTTAATGCCGTTTACATTATAGATAACACCACTGACAAAGACAGCACTGAGTTTTAATGACGTATAAAAAATAGGTTAAGCTCTACTTGGTGTGGATTCATCAAATGTATAAGTTAATATTATTTTAAAAAAATGTAAGTATATAAGAAGGAATACATTTCACCAGACTTGTATCGCCCAGATCCCACCGTCTCGGGAGAATGAGCCATTACTTCAAACTTTTTCTTTTCCAAATAGTCCTGACTGAACAAGAGAACATATGGCCACTGTTGTCAGAAGGAACAGCCGAACTGACAACTTTCTGCCACTGTGCCATCCTGCTGACATTGTTTGACAGTTGTTTCACTTCGTTTATACGATATTCACACTCCATGTAATTTTGCTCACCGCTGCAGTAGGAAAAGCAACAGTTGTCTTACATTTGGACCAAGGCGTTCAGACCGCCAAGCTCTTGTGGGCTGTGGTTGATTATCGCCAGTATGTGTTTACCTCATCATACAGCTGCTACATTTTCTCCATGGCAAATCGCTGCTTTCTCTGGACCTCTTGAGCAATATGTGCATAAAGTGTAGGTTCGGGATCCAGCAGTGCCGACTTCAGGTCCCCAAAGAAAGCTAATCCCAGCGTGCGATGCTGCTGCCGTCCCCAGACTTAGTTCCTGCCGTGACACTTGGCACAGAATGGGCGTCCTCCTCAGGACTGCTGCCACACCTATACTTCTGTCTGAACTTGTCCGTCAGACCCAGACTTCTTGAGAGGAACTCTTTCATGCCATATTCTGAGGTGTGTCCCAGAAAACACGACCTACAGATACAGGCTGTGTTACCAGAGTAAAGAGACCTTAACGTGAGTTAACAGGAAAATCTGAAGAATGTAATAAGAATATAAATGGATATGCTAGAAAATTCAATCCATCCCACTTTCAGTACTAACTACAACTACTACTAATAATGTTCATTTATTAGTTTTCTAGATGTTTCTTATCGAGGTGTAAACGGCTTTAATTACCAGGTTCAACACGAACATCTTTTAAAATAAACCGTACACTTGATCGAAGTGACAGCTATCAAGACACAACAGCGCTCAGGCATATGAAAGGGACTCTCGTGATGACGTCAGCGGGTCCTATGACGTTGCGTTCAGAGCTGTGGTTTATTCGGGAAAATGATGGAAGCACAACTGGAGAGATTTCATTGTCCTCAACATATCCTCATGGACCTCTTTAAGATTTGAGAACGCTATCCTGTATTACACCGTTTTTGAAATAGAGAGCAATTACTCCTTTTTTGTTACTAACCTCATCGTGCTTCTAGCTAAATTATAGCTCTTCTAGCTATATATAAATGCAACTTTCTCGGTCTTCATGAAAGACTTAAAAATTATAGTGACATAATCTCTTCATCTAAAAACAAAAAGGCAATGAACACTATTAATTTATTTCACAGATACAATTTTACTGTATAAATCCCCCCCAGCCTATGGACTATTTTGGTTGTTTTTTCCTTTCTCTGTGGTTATGGATTCCTCTCTGGCATGTCATATGTTCCTCTTTCTCTGATGATTGTATGCTGTAATTGTTCAATAAAGTAAAAAAAAAAATCTAATTCATATTGAGGAAAGCACAAACGTAAACAAGGGAAAATTAAGGTAAGGTGATTAATTAGGGGGTAAGTGTTTCCACTCTGAACAATGTCATTTAAAAAACATGACTTGGGTTGTTGTAAAGTTTAGTAAACAACTGATTGATTTTACATATGTAAAATGTACAAATGTTTCATATACATATATTTATATGCATATACAGTATATATTGAAACCCCCCTTGAGCAGCACTTGGCAACAGCGGGGAGGAAAAAAACTCCCTTTAACAGAAGAAACCTCTGACAGACCCCTGCTCTTGGTGAGTGACCTTCTGCTTTGACCGGTTGGGGTGAGTGGATAGAGTTGAGAGAAAAGAAAAAAAACAAAAACAAAAATAATAAACAAAAACTAGAATCTATTGTCAGTATACAATTCAACAGAAGCTCAGATGACTTCCAAAAAGAGCAAACAGTTGAGGCAATCTCTCTAGATGAGTTTGATCAGAAACTGTACATTTTGTCATCAAAGAAGATTTACAGTGGTGTGAAAAAGTGTTTACCCCCTTACTGATTTCTTATCTTTTTGCATGTTTGTCACACTGTAATGTTTCAGATCGTCAAACAAATTTATATATTAGTCAATGCTAACACAAGTAAACACATCATGCAGTTTTTAAATGAAGGTTTTTATTATTAAGGGAAAACAAAATCCAAAACTATATAGCCCTGTGTGAACAAGTGTTTGCCCCCCTGTCAAAACACTGGTTTATCGCACCTGAGTTCAATTTCTCTAGCCACACCCAGGCCTGATTACTGCCACACCTGTTCGCAATCAAGAAATCACTTAAATAGGACCTGCCTGACAAAGTGAAGTAGACCAAAAGATCCTCAAAAGCTAGACATCATGCCGAGATCCAAAGAAATTCAAAAACAAATGAGAAAGAGAATAATGGAGCTCTATCAGTCCGGAAAAGGTTATAAAGCCATTTCTAAAGCTTTGGGACTGCAGCGAACCACAGTGAGAGCCATTATCCACAAATGGCGAAAACATGGAACAGTGGAGAACCTTCCCAGGAGTGGCCGGCCGACCAAAATTACCCCAAGAGCGCAGCGACAACTCATCCAAGAGGTCACAAAAGACCCCACAACAACATCCAAAGAACTGCAGGCCTCACTTGCCTCAGTTAAGGTGAGTGTTCATGACTCCACCATAAGAAAGAGACTGGGCAAAAATGGTTTGCATGGCAGAGTTCCAAGACGAAAACCACTGCTGAGCAAAAAGAACATAAAGGCTCGTCTCAGTTTTGCCAGAAAACATCTTGATGATCCCCAAGACTTTTGGGATAATACTCTGTGGACAGACGAGACAAAAGTTGAACTTTTTGGAAGGTGTGTGTCCCATTATGTGTGGCGTAAAAGTAACACCGCATTTCAGAAAAAGAACATCATACCAACAGTAAAATATGGTGGTGGTGGTGTGATGGTCTGGGGCTGTTTTGCTGCTTCAGGCCCTGGAAGACTTGCTGTGATAAATGGAACCATGAATTCTGCTGTGTACCAAAATATCCTGAAGGAGAATGTCCGGCCATCCGTTTGTGACCTCAAGCTGAAGCGAACTTGGGTTCTGCAGCAGGACAATGATCCAAAGCACACCAGCAAGTCCACTTCTGAATGGCTGAAGAAAAACAAAATGAAGACTTTGGAGTGGCCTAGTCAAAGTCCTGACCTGAATCCAATTGAGATGCTGTGGCATGACCTTAAAAAGGCAGTTCATGCCCGAAAACCCTCCAATGTGGCTGACTTACAACAATTCTGCAAAGATGAGTGGGCCAAAATTCCTCCACAGCGCTGTAAAAGACTCATGGCAAGTTATCGAAAACGCTTGATTGCAGTTGTTGCTGCTAAGGGTGGCCCAACCAGTTATTAGGTTTAGGGGGCAAACACTTTTTCACACCACGGTATTGCAGGACTCTTGATTTAGCTTGCAATAGTTTTAGCTTAGAATACAAATATACTGTAGATGAGTACATTTTCTGTTGAGTGAGTTTTCAAATTGTTAGAAATTAATAAATTAGCCAGATAATTATTAGACATTAATGTCTTAGACTTTAATGTATTAGTAATGCAATTTAGTAAGATTAAAAGTCTGCTCTAGTCTGTTCTGTTTGAAGCTTAGCAGCAAGCCATCACACCAATTGTTTTCTTGTATTAATCTTGTTAGATTTGTGTCTGATTGTTTTAGTTACGCACCACGTAACAACATCCACACACATCGAGCTACCTCATTTTGTTATGACTAGGTAACACGCAGCTGCTCCAAGCCTGTGGAGCTCTAGATAAGAGATGGAGTCTGCTGGACGGACTTCAGGGGTTAGCCAAAAACTGATAAATGTATTAGGCTCTGTGTTTCTGGGATCTCCTGTCCCCAGCAGCCAGAGTGTGTGTGTTTCTGGAGGGAGGAACAACCCGGATTGTGTTCTGTAATCTTTACTTATTTTTTTTTAAATAAACCAGAACTAAAATCAAGAAAGACAGACTTCTTCCTTACTCAGATCTGTCCAATAAAAGAACTGGGGTATAACACCATGCAAGTGGCCCCTAATGTCTGCAGTATTCATTACAAAATCTGTGCGGTCAATTTTAATATTTCTTGTGCTTAAATGCAAAGTCAGAGCTGACAGTGCATCTAAGGTAAAGGTAACTCAATAAATCATGGTTCATCACCCAGAACTGTGAATATCCACAGCAAATGTCATGTCAGTCTGGTCTATAGCTGTTGTATATCCTCCTCTGGACCAATATGGACACACAGACTCCCATCACCATACAAAAAAGGGAATACTGTTAATTATTAATTAATTTTATTCACACAACCAGGATTCACAATTATTATGGCGGCAGTAGTTGTGTACATTATGCAGCAGAGAGCCTGATGTGTCATGCCTTCATACAGACATGACTGATAAATAATACACCAGAGTATGTCCCGTTGCACCACAGATTGTTATAGCATGCTTTCCTGCAGGCTTTCAAGAAGCAATAAATATTCTCAAGCTGTGTGAAAAATTACAGTGAAGTTACAAACAATGCTTGAGCACCCACCTTAAAAGATCAAATGAACCTGTTCCCACACAAAGATGTCTTTGCATTTAGCATGAATAACAAACAAGGGTACATTTCTCAATCACATTTACTACAGTTCAGCTACTAATTTTTAAGGGACAACTGGAAGCATTCAACATGCTATATAATCTTCTATATATGCTATAATCTAATAAGTCTTCATTCATTCATGTTCAACTGAGCAGTTATTTTGACACCTGTTTGTTGGCGACACAACAATGCATTAGTTTTTTTTTTCTTTTAAAGCAAGTCCTGCAGCAGGTTGTCTCTGTGGTTCCTAACGACTGAGCTACTGTTCTGACCTACTGTAAAAGAACACCGTAGCCATAGTGAAGCATGGTGGTGGCAGCATTATGCTTTGGGGCTGCTTTTCTTCAGCTGGAACTGGGGCTTTAGTCAACATGGAAGGAATTTTGAAAACTTTGAAATATCAGTCAATTCTGCCACAAAACCTCCAGACCTCTGACAAAATGCAGAAGATGAAGAGGAATTTCACCTTTCACCATGACAACAAACCAAAGCACATCTCCAAACCAACAAAAGAATGGCTTTACTAGAAGAAGATCAGTTCTGGAATGGCCCTGCCAGAACCCGGACCTGAGTCCAATAGAAAATCTGTGGGGTGACCTGAAGAGGGCTGTGCATGGGAGATGCCCTCGCAATCTGAAAGATTTTGAAAGCTTTTGCAGGGGAGAGTGGGCAAAGATTCCTAAGGCATCCAAGTGAAGCAGAAGCAGAGTTTTTTACAACTCTTATTCCACTATGTGACAGAATGTCAGACTTATTAAACTCTAAACAAAATAGAGGAAAAGCTGATGGTTGCAGTCTCTGGCTTTCCAGTTCTGTACAATGTGTCTATAATGAGTTACAGGGACAGAACAAAGATCAATGTTTGGAAATAGAACATCGTGTCTGGTGGCTCTAAAATATCTCTACATGTGTGTGACATAGTCCAGTTGAACATCTGTCAGGACTTTTAGTCCTGTAATCTTGAGTTTTACCAGTGCGTCCTTCTGTGAGCATATTTAGTGAAATGAAGAGAACCAAAAGGTAAGGCAAAGACAAAGCACTGCCATCATGAAAAACCACCTGCCAAAGCAGTAGATTATATAAATTGGCCTTGTAGACTTAACCAATAAATTTGACTGATCAACATTACCACAACCGCCAGACAACCTTCCCATTATTGTACCAAAACTTGTTTCAAATGGTTTCTCTAATAATGAATAGTCAGAATAGATTGTTGCAGGTTTTGGTCTATGTGGAGTTTAAATACAAATTGTGTGTGCTAAGGGGCCCATGATGCACCAGTCTGTGTATTCCTCTTCCATCTTAACAGTACTATAAATGTGCTGGGACTGCTACCAGGTGAGGGAGCTCACTGATTAACCTGTGGTGTCATTAGTTCATCCCATACACACACATGTAAAAGAGAGCTTGTGGTTTTGCAGGAGTTACTGTATGTTCATTTCTTGAACAACAGATTTTTATTTGCCATTTATGCATAAACAGACAGTCTAGGCATATAGGAATTCTTGTGCAGCTCTCCTTTGGAGTCAGGTAAGGAGTCAAAAGCCAGAAAGAACACTCAGTCTTAAAATAGAAAAGTTACAATCATTTCACTTCTTATATTAATAATAATTTAGACTACTTTGTAAAGATCAGTTTTCACTTTGACATGAAAGATTTTCGGTTGATCAGTGTTTAAAAAAACAAAAAAAAGGTGAAAAGTTCCAACGGGGGTGAATATTTTTATATGCACTGTAGATTTTGATCAGCTCCATATCTGTACAAGAAAGATGCTGAATGTAAAGTTAGCACATAAAATCTAGGTTGAAAAATACCAGAATTTTCCTTTAATAAAGATTTTAGAAAACTTGGCATCCATCTTCTCATCTTACTCTTGGAAACTAACAAATAAATCCAATCCCAAAAATGCTGAACTATTCCGTTAAAGAGAGGGAAGTGTGAACTTAACATTTGATTTTGCAATGCCATCTGAAATATGTGATGCTGCAGATGTTAAGAGTTGTGTTACAAATTTGGCCTCTGTCTAATACAGGAGTGTGAAAACACATCTGAAATTACCTTGTGTCTTACTGCAGATGCTCCTCTCATCTCTGAGATTTCTGTCATCAAAGTATGTCCTAATGTCAGGAAACATCTGCAGCGTTGATCAGTTTAATGTAACAAAAACTAACGGCTATCCATTATCACAACAGCAGACAAGCTGCCTGACAGGGATAAAAAGGAAAAGCAGTGTGTAGTACTTGCTTAATATTTAATTCAGATGCAACAGAAAATTTATCCTTCCTTTTTAATGTGTTTCTGTATGTATGAGACTTTTCGGAGTCACATGGACCTCGGCTGATTTCACTGGCCATTATTCCTCTAATGATCATCCTGGTGTCAATTTTTGCTCTGTCGCAGCGAGGACAGGAGGAGGGGCAGCAGGTTGAGAGCAGGCCGATGCTCCTGCGCCCCCATTGCCACCAGAGCCCCTGCCAAGAGGGAAGTTACTCTGGGCAGCACAGGGGGCTGAACTGGCATCACCTGTAGCACAGTGACAGAGGACAGTCAAAATAGGAAGCAGAGCATGATGCAAAAAACAGCTGTCTACATAGTCATCTCATTGACATTTTAAACACGGTAAATCAACAGGTTAATTTCCATACAGGCATTCTTTCTGTGAAAATGGGACAAGTCAGTAAAACAAGAGATGTTAGTTCAATGACACCTGAACTACACTACTGACAGTGGTGAGAGCCTGAGCTGAAGATCTGAACACTGCCTTCTTTCTATCAGTTTTATCAGTAACAGCAAGGCTAAAGCCTGAATATACCTAAAAGAAAAGCTTATTGGATTGTCTAACGGCTTCAGAAACTCCAATTCCAATAGTTTTATCAGGGGCAGCAGTGTTAAACCACTTTGTGACTTTCTGTAACACCTCACACAAACACTTGTGTCAGCATGTATATGGAGTTAGTTGCTTACCTTTTCAATTTTATGACAGTGAATGAGTCCATCCTGTTTAATGTAAAACGTAGAGAACGCATCACATAACCTAAAACAGAAGACATCTATATTAAGAGAGATAATGAAACACTTAAGACACTGAGACGAAGGTAGAACTGTTTAGGAAGAACACACAGCGCTATGTATGGTGTAAAAAGAGAACCGCATACCAACATGAAAACATTATCTCAACAGTGAAGTATGGTGGAGGGAGCATCATGATGTGGGGCTGCTTTGCTGCCCCTGGATCTGCCATTGTGGAGGGAAAATGAATTCTCCAGTTTATCCAGGTGTCCTACAGGATAATATCAGGGTGGCTGTCAGCAAGCTGAAGCTCAAAACAGGCTGGGTGATGCAGCAGGACAATGACCCTAAATGTCAAAGTAAATCTACTATAAAAGGCTTTGGAGACATGTAATCCTCCTTTTGGAGCGGCCCAGTCAGAGCCCAGACCTCAGACCAACAGAGATGCTGCGGTATGACCTCAAGAGCCATTCACACCAGACGTCCTAAGAATATGTCTGACCTGAGGCAGTTCTGTAGGAAGAATGGTCCAGAATTCCTCCTGAACGTCATTTAGGTTTAAGCCACAGCTACAGGAAGAGCTTACTTCGGGTTATTGCAGACAGTACTGATAGTACTCCATAGATTTTTCAGCTTTCTAAAGACCTTTAAAAGCTTGACACCCTCTCACATCTAAAGACAATGTGTCCGAGTTCATGCAGGGTCACTATTTGCAGGACTGCAGCTGGATTTCTGTGTGTGAACAGTGTTGTTCTTGGAAAAAACAGTCAAAAAAGACAAACAGAAGACAGCAGAATGTGGACACGACCCTGTCTGACTGAAAGGGGACAGTGAACATAACTGTGCCTTCTGAGGGACAGAGTCACCGGAGCCTCCTTCATATTTACCCATAGATATATAATGCATTTACCGCTGTTGGCCGCTATGCTGCTTCCACCTATTGGTTGTTTACAATGTTCATGTCACTGTTTGCATGAGCCAAGCCAGACTAAAGCCTTGGGATAATGTTAAACATGCCAGATTCTATCAGAAAGTAACTTGCACTAACTTACACCTTACACTAAATGACTGAAACAACGTCAGCGCAGCTCGCCTGTAGCAAGACTCAATGTTATTCTGACACTGGAAATGTGTCTGCGACTAGAAATCATTTGTATGAAAGTGTGTGTGTGGTCTGGATAATAAAAATACATTTGCTATTGCCTTGTCTACAGAGTGGGCATGGAGCAGGCAAACCCAGTAACGCTACTGGTCCCTTATCCTCATCTACAAAAACTGCATAGTGCTGCCAATTTCATTTGTGGTTTTCAACACACCACAAAAGAATCATTTCACTTCATGCATCAGCACTTTGTCAACATGTTCAGCACATTTTCACAATGCTGATAATACTGAAAGCCATCATAATTTTGGTTGCCATATTTGTGATATTACATTTTCATACGGTTTCATCTCTATAAGCTACAGTGGAGATGCACCGTGTGTTACCTGTAAAGTTGAGATTTGTCTTTTCGATAGAAGCGCAGCAGCAGACAGTGGAAGGGAAGGCCTCTGATCCTCCAGCGTGCCTTCACAGTCCCATCCTCCATGTGTTTGGTAAGCTTCAGTACTTCCAGCTGAAGCTCAGCGTAGTAACACAGACACAGGAGACGCCACAGAAAGATGGTGAGCTGGTACAGCGCACGACCTCTACACCAACACACACAGCAACAGTCGGGCCACTCCGTAAGTCACACAATCACAAAATGTTACCTCATATACATAATTTGGACAAAGCAAGTGTTTGTAATAACATATCATCATTAGCCCAGACTATAGCAGCAGATTCACCTGGTCTTGGTATTCACGAGGCCATTGATGAACTCCATATCACTGGAATACATGGTGTAATCATGGTTCTTCATGAAGAAGTTCGGAAGCTGCAAAACGAAGAAAATGTAGTCTCTGATTGAGGCAGAGCTTTTCAGTGAGTTCACTCATTGTACTGTTAAGTACAGCTACATTCCAAAGCAGGCAGACTCTGGTCCAGATCCAGACAGGAATACAGTTTAATCCATATGGGGCAAACTTTCAGTGACAAATAACTGTCACCTCACTGGACCCGTCATTGTTCAGCTGCCCACTATAGTTTGCCCTGACACCAAGGTGGCTGTCAGATCAGATGTAGGAGATGCAATTTAACCCTTGTGCTCTGTTCGGGTCTGTGGGACCCGGAGACACATGTCACCTTAAAAACAACAATATATATAAATATATATATATTTATATATATTGTTGTTTTTGTTTTGACACTTCCTACTCCCATCAGTGGTCCTACAGCTGGACTAGAGTCCACCTCCACCTAATTTAATGCAAAGGATATTAGGAAAGGCACACACCTGTCTATACAAGGTTGGTGGTGTATGTCAGAGTGAAAACAGTCATGAGGTTGAGAACTGTCCACAGACCTGACAGGACTGTATCAAGACAGATCTGGGGAAGGACACAAGGACATTTCTGCAGCATTAAAAGTGCCCCAGAGCACAGGAGTGAGTCAAGGGGTCACTATGAATGAGATCCAGAGTTCCTTTATGGAGATGGGAGACCTTAAGAAGGACAACCATCAGTGCAGCCCTCCACCAACCAGGCCTGATAGAGCAACCAGACGGCAGCCATTCCTCACTAAAAGGCACATGACAGCCCTCTGAGAGTTTGCCATGAGAAGCATCTGGTCTGATGAAACAAAGATGGAACTATTTGGCCACAATTCCCAACAGTGTGTGTGGAGAAAACCAGGCACTGAGCATCAGCCCACTAATACCATCCCTACATCCCTAAAAATATTAAGCAATTCTGAAGGAAAACCTTCTCCAGAGTGCTCACGATCTCAGGCTGGTGCGAAGGTTTACACTTCAACAAGACAACAACCCAAAGCACAAGGCCAAGAAAATAGGAGTGGATTCAGGGAAACTGAGTCTGGACCTGAACCCAATAGAGCATCTCTGGAGAGACCTGAACATGGCTGAGCACCGACACTCCCCATCCAACTTGGTTGACCTTGAACGATTCTTCCAAGAAGAATGGAAGACATTTTCAAAAGAAAGCTGCTGAGCTTGTAGCTTCGTTCTAATAAGACTTGAGGCTGTCGTTACCGCCAAACGTGCTTCAGCCAAGTATTATGTAAATTAGATATTTCAGTGTTTTATTAGAGATAATAGAACCTTCCCTGGTAGGCTAGTGGTTAAGGCGCAGCGCTCTCGCCGCTGCGGTCCGGGTTCAAATCAGGGTTGCTTCAGGAAGAGCATCCGGCATAAAACACGTGCCAAATTTCTTAATTAGAGACAATAAATTTACAAACACTCCAAAAACCTGTTTTCACTTCATCATTGTGGAGCACTGTGTGTAGATGGAAGAAAAATGAACTGAATTCATTTTAAGATAGGTCTGAAACAACAAATGGTCTGAAAACTTTCTGTACCAACTGTACATTTAAAACCATTCAAATGATGAATGGAGAAAATAATCAGCAGATGAAACCATAAAATAATCAGTAGTTGCACTTGAACACAAACTAGTTCAGCAGAGCTGTAGCTCAACCAGCTACAACAGTCATGTCCTGTTTTTACATCAGTTCATGAGTGACAGGCTGCTAATGTGATAATAAAATATATACAAGCCCAGATTTTGATTTTACATACTGTCCCAACTTTTTCTAATTTGGGGTTGTAATAGTACAACAGTACTCACTAGTCTACTTTAAACACCAAGTACATTTTCATGATAATATTCACTTTTATTTGACATTTTCAATGCATGACTTTAAGTAAAGGATGTGAATACTTCCCCTACTGCTGCTGCTAACTTACAAGCTAGCCTGCTTTAATTATGCAACATGTTATAGCTATGTATTTTCTTTTTTAAATCAGGTAAAGCTGTAGAGCTGCGATCCAGCCAATCAACTGTCACAGTCACTTACAATAGAAAGAAAAAGACCTGTTTGGTTTCATTACTCTGAGGGTCATTGTAGTTGATAATAATAGTAATTCAGTAATACTGTATACCAAAATAGCATGAAAATTATATTTTCTGAGATGGTTATGCCATGAAAATCTCACACCGTTGCAATCCTACAGTGGAGATATAGATAAATATCAGCCATGTTTATATTATAGATCAGGGGTGGCGAACCTGTTTGCCATAATGAGCCAAAAAAAAAGACTTTATCACTACAAAGAGCCACCCAACAGATGAGCAAACAACAGTTCACAACTTATACACCTAATTACATAACACAATAGTTTTCATGGATTTAAATCAGCCTACCTCCTTTTATTTGACTCAGTGGGACACCTGACAGTCCTTGGTTTCCACAATCTCTTTTAGGTCTGGCTTGTATTCAGTTGTGGCTACTCGTAGTAACTCTTTCACATGTGTGTCAGTAAGAACAGAGCGATGCTTTGATTTCACTTGTTTCAGTGTCGAAAAAAGTGATTCACAGATGTAAGTTGACCCAAACATTGACAGTAGTTTGAGTGCAGCCCGTTTGACATTGGGATATCTCTCAACCGGCACAATCTTCCAAAACTCCACGGTTCCTTCCTTCAGAA